CCTCCCTTGTATCATCGTGGGCACGCCTACGGGCATCGAGGGTGTCACACACGTCATGGTGGCGGTCGACACTCTCATGCACCGGACCGTGGTGCATGGCCTACCGCCTTGCGGTGCGCCTAGTGGACTGACGCGTCCTTGTCGAGTTGTTTTGAGGGCGTGTGCTGGCTGGCATAGAGCTCGTGTTGTCGGGATAGCGAGCTCTCAGCCTGCTGCACCGCCAAACGCTCGAGTAGCGTGCGAATCTCACGATGGGCCCGACGATCCTCGGGCGTCGTGGGCCCCGAAAGCCCTCGGAGCAAGGCCACTGCACAGCAGTGATGTTCTGGCTCACCCGGGTAAAGTGTGGGAGGGCTTCATCGTCCTCGATGATCCTCCGATTCACGTCGCGGGCCTTGGCGCACGCACGCACACTGTTTTCGTGGTGCTCGATCACTCTCGCTCGAGCTCCGCGTGTTCTTGCTCAAGCTAGAGTCGTGCTTCCTCGAGCTCTTGGTGCTGGACCTTCAGCTGCTCTACCCGTAGGCAAGGTGGGGACCCTGCATCCCTCTTGACCTCATCGTCGAAGTCATTCATCGGGGTAGCCTCTCCCTCATGGATGCTTTCAACGAGTCCCTCGGGGGTACCTATCAAGAAACATTCATGAGCGGGATGATGGCTCCCCCTACTGGAGTCAGAGCTAGAGGGCGACTCCGATTCTCCTGCGAGGAGGTTGTGGAAAGATTCTGCGACATATTCGGTCATCCCCATGAACTCGTCGTTCGTGGGGGATGAAGGAGTGCGTTGCGCCACAAGGTGGCCAACAGTCTCTACGGCGTTGCGGGGACCGGACGGGAGCGTTGTCGGGGCGCTCCGGATGAGGTATTCCGGAGAGAGCGGCTCTCCTTCGACAAGCTACGTCATGACGTTGGCGAACGAGAAGGTGAGGTGGCGCAGGTCCTCCTAGGACGGTCGGGGTCCTAGGAAGGCGCCAAGCTGGCGCTCTAACCTCCCGTAGTCGAAGCCGATGGGTTGGTCGCTCCTGGGGGCGTGGGCCTTTGGTGTGTGCAGCTGCAGCTCCTCAAGTGCCTCGGCGATCGCGTCGAGGCCTATGGAGTGGAGAGGTTGGACGGCGGTGGGAGCCTACACAAACTCTCCCTCCATTGTGATGATGAAGTCTAGGTCCCCGAAGCGCACGTGCGTGCCTAGGACTCAGCTGACACCGTGACTGGCTATCCGAGACCTAAAGTGGACGTCGAGATGCGCAACAGGCCCCTACCTGGCGTGCCAACTGTCGGTGTTTCGAGTTACCACCGATGAGTAAATTTCTAGTATTGCGTGTCTGGCTCGGATGGTGTGCTTAGAGGACACGAGGTTTATACTGGTTCGGGCAGAAAGTCCCTACGTCCAGTTCGTCGATGCTGCTCATGTTACTAGCACTAAAAGTTTGTAGTAGGGGTTACAAACATGCGAGAGAGAGACATGTCCCAAGTCTCTAGTGAAAAGAGTGAAAGCGTGCTGAGAGCTCGGTTGCTGCTCTTGTGTGTATCTGGATCTGATCAGTTTAGGGTCGGATCAGATCCCCTTCATGGGATGCCCTGCTTTCCCTTTTATAGGCCAAGAGAAAGCACGGGTTACAGTAGAGGAAAAGAGAAGAACAAGAGAGAGAAGGAGTCCTTCAGGATCGCTGGATCCTTCTTATCCTTCATGCGGGTCTCTCCAACCCTGTAGATGTCAATAGGGATGGCTCCACGTCGCGGCCCTGTCCATCACTGGCGCCAAGCGCAGGCATCGTCTGCCGGTCATGGCATTCCATTCTGTCGCAACGGACGTCGTGGTGAGCTGATGCGTCGGTCAGCGTCCGTACGAGGGTTAGGCAGAACAGCACCGGTACGTCCGACGCTGTTCCTGATGTGAATCCTTAGGTATGGCCCATCGTGGCTACGGGTTACATCGGGGCGTGCCGGTCTCTCTCTTAGTGTCAGAGTTTTGACCCAGACCCATACGCTTGGACCTAGAGTGGTTGGCGGCGGTACAGGTCTCCGTCGGGCGAGACGGAGTCCACGACCTCAGGGTCGGGCGAGGCGGAGCCCGCCCTCAGAGGTCGGCGAGGCGGAGACCGCGGCCTTGGGGTCGGGCGGGGCGGAGCCCGTGGCCTTGGGGTTGGGCGAGGCGGAGCACGGACCCAAGGGTCGGGCGAGGCGGAGCCCGCGGCCTCGGGGTCGGGCAAGGCGGAGCCCACCGCCAGAGGTCGGGCGAGGCGGAGCTTACGCGCCTGGGGTCGGTTGGAGCTGTAGTCACGCTCTTGACTGCTCGGATGAATCAATGTTGATGGTCATTAGCTTTTCCTCTTTGGGTACCCTAGTATTAGTCCCCGACAATAGACTAATTATGAAACTAAATGCACAGATTGAGACTAATTTGCGAGATGAAATTTTTAAACATAATTAGTCCATGATTTGATAATGTGGTGCTACAATAAAAAGTATGCTAATGATGACTTATTTAGGTTTAATAAATTCATCTCGCAGATTACTGAGGATTTTATCTGAACACTCAATGACACACGATGTGATGCCCCTAAACTAACACCCGATGTGATATCTCTAAACTTTAGTGACTTTCCACCTCTTTGCAATAATACTTTGTGGGGGAAATTAGATCTTTGTGAGGCATTAATACTCTGTGGTTGGACGAAAGGACGAGTGCCTCACTGGAAGCCTCTTTGCAAGCATAATACTGTGAGGCCTCTGGAGCAAACATGTAGAGGCAATGTTTACAGAGGACTATGACTGCACAAAGGAAGTGGTAGCAAAACAATTCAACAAATTATTTTAAAATTTGAGGAAGGTTGAATCTCTGGTTTTATGAATGAGGAGAATCAGACCATGCCTTTGAATAAACAGAGGCAATGTCTGGAGACTCATTGCACAATGCAAGTGATATTGGAGCAAACCAATAACCTTTGAAGAAACAGAGGCGACTCACTGCACAATGCAAGTGGCATTAAAGCAATGCTACAAATTACTTTAAAAGTTAGGAAGGTTAATTTTTAGGGAGGAAATCAGACCATAGTGAAAATTGGTTTTACAAATGAGAGAAATCGGATAACTAAGTTTTGAGCTTTAAAAAGGAAAATTTTCCTAGATCTTTAATGGATATGGGCCTTAAAGTTTTGAGCTTTGAAAAAGGTCTTCCTTAGTTTTTTTATGGATATGGGCCTTGTGAGTTTATTTAATCTGTTGCCATGAAGCCCATTTAAAATCAGAGTTGAATCTGTTGCCATCAATCCCATTCAAAATCACACAGCCCAAATCATTATCCCACGTGTCCTACTCATTATCCCATCTCGTGACCCCTCCACTCCCCTGCGCCCACTCGCGGCTGCTCCGCCCACCCACTCTCCCCCGCACGCACTCGCTGCCGCTCCGCCCCATCCCCCCCCCTCCACCCCCCCCAGCGAACGAACACCGTGTCTGCTTGCCCGTGCTCCCTCCATCCCTCCCCCTCCATGACCTCCATGCGACCTCGTGTTCCCCAGCTACTCGTCCCCCGCTCCCCCCAATGGAGACGAGGACGACGCCAGCGGCTCCGACGAGGTAGGTCGGTCCTTCTCTAGATGTGAGCCCTCCTCCTCCTCTGGATCTGGATCTGAGCCCTCGTCATCGTCCTTCTCTTCCTCTGGATCTGAGGGACGCGGCGGTGGCTACGGTTCTGGCGAGCTCTGGGGTCCTATTCACTCCTCCCTCCGTCGAGCTAAAAGGTGATGGGCCAGGGCTACAGCAGCCTGCACCTTGAACCCATCCCCTTGCTGTTTGTATGTTATTTGTTTCTCCGTGTTGCAATGGGTTTTTTGATGTTGCAATATATTATTTTCAAATGTTGCAATGGGATTTTTAGGTTGTTGCACCAGATGATTTTTGAATGTTACCATTTCCATGTTTCATGGTTGATTTTTGCGATGTTGCAGTACATAATTTTCGATGTTGCAGTACATAATTTTTTATGTTGCTGTACATAATTTTCGATGTTGCAGTACATATTTTTCGATGTTGCAGTACATGTTTTTTGATGTTGCACTACATAATTTTGCGATGTTGTATTTATATTCTGATATTGCACTACATAGTTTTTCCATATGTTTGCAATATTGCACTTGAAGTGTTTCGTGCTCTTGGGACAGGAGGCGCGGTGGGGGAACGGGGTGCGTTGGGGAACGTGCACAGGGACGCAGTGGGAAACGGAGGACAGGGACGCGGTGGACGCAATTCCATTCCGTTTTATTCCGATCCGATTTCTATTCGTGTTGCGGGGCGAGCGGGTTTGGAAAGAGGAGTGGCGTCCAGACGCATCTCGCATGCCGGACGTCCGGGCACCAGGATAAACGTTGTAATATTTGTGTTTTATCGCCTAGTTCCATTTACCCATTTATCTTCTCGATAAGTAAGTACGTATATTTGAACACCGCACGACGTTCTCCAATTCGCGAACGTGGACTATGAGTCTCCGAAGAGGTAAAGTAAAATATTCCGGTGGACGGGCAGTTGAGCTGCACCCGTTCCAGTGGTTGAGCTGTGGTCGTTGCTGCTGGCTCTCTCACTGCCCTTCTGCTGCTCCTCCGATCTGGTCGCTTCCAACGTCTGCGCGCCCAACGCTTCTCACCTTCCGGCGCCTTCCCTCTCACAGAGTCACAGGCACCCACCCGCCAGTCACAGCTACCACGCAGCTGCACGGTGCACCCACCTGTTGTGACCTATATATCCCGCGGCGCAGCTCACTTATCACGTGACCTCGCCGCCGGCGCGCTGTTCCCGTACGGACACCCCGCGAACTAGCCGCGCTCTGTCCGTCGATGGAAAACTCGCCGCTCCTTGGAGGCATCCGCCAGCAACCAAACACTCAGCTGGCTACAGGCTACGTGCCTTGCCCCGCTGCCGCCGGCCGTAGCCGCGCCACAGCCGGAGCCGGAGCAGCATGCTTGCATCGATGCGACGACGTCCCTCGTCCCGGCGGGCGCGGCGATGAGTTGCCCGCCGGCTGCCGTGGACTGGGCATCGCTGCTTCTCCCGCGAGCGCCGGGGTCGTCGTTGCACGTCGTGACGCCGCCGCCGGCGCAGCAGCAGGCAGCGGCGGGCGCGAGCGAAGTCGAGAGTGGTGGTAGTAGCGCTGTGACTGTGGCCGGGAGCAGTGCTTGTGCGACGGCGGCCGGAGAGGGAGATAATAATAAGGTCGGAAAAGAAGGGAAGAAGGGCGGCGGCGGGAGGGGGAAGAAGAAGGCGAGCCGGCCACGGTTCGCGTTCCAGACACGGAGCGACAACGACGTTCTCGACGACGGCTACCGGTGGAGGAAGTACGGGCAGAAGGCCGTCAAGAACAGCGCATTTCCAAGGTCTCTTTGTTTGTTCTGTCTCGCTCCATTGCGCATGCATGTCTAATGCTAGCTTTCGATTAAATAATTTGCTGTACGTGATGATTGCACTGCATTGGCGCTGCTTAAGAAAACTTGAAGGTCGATCGATGCATGGAAATAATGCAAAATGTGTGTGCACGCAGGAGCTACTACCGGTGCACGCACCACACGTGCGACGTGAAGAAGCAGGTGCAGCGGCTGGCCAAGGACACGAGCATCGTAGTGACCACGTACGAGGGCGTGCACAACCACCCGTGCGAAAAGCTCATGGAGGCACTCAGCCCCATCCTCAAGCAGCTCCAGCTCCTCTCGCAGCTCCAGTCTTGCACTAATCAACTCCTCTGAATATTCATCTGATCTGACACACACAGCCTTAGCCTGGCCATCAGCGTGAGCTAATGCGAATTTACTTCGTCTAAGTGTACAAAACAAACTGTTAATCGATCGGCATTGGTAACGTAAGGAACTAGTACCTCCCTAAATTACACAGTAAGTATATATGTGTAGCTGATCTTATATAGATGCAGATCTGTACGTGATTCATGCATATACGAGAAACGTTTGTGATAGGTACTAATGAAACAACAGAAATAATGTATGTGCGCGGATCAGCGTCCTTTGTAATCAAGTTGTAATTTACTTGTGCAATTTAATCTCTCCGGCTATTGATAACCTTTTATTGGAAGTTCTAGGATGATGTCAAGATGACAGATTATATCGTTGAAGATATATATGTGATGAAGATTGGTCCCTTGGACTCTCTTTGTAGACAGCAAACACCAATCCACGAGAACAAAAAAGAAGAACCCCACCAATCCACGAGGCTTTTTTATATTATTTTAAGAGTAAAATATATAAGCGGTTTAAATTTGCTTCAAGGTAGAATGTAGCTCCTTGAACCCTCAAACTATATTCTCGGGTCTTCAAACCGGTTTTATGGTGTCATTAAATTCCTAAACTCAAAAAAAGTCATTTTTAAGATCTCGAACTTGTCACTTGTTATCTATGTCCAAACGGGTCTTGACATGGTTTCTACTGCAAATCCCCTATGCCTCATTTCTTGACTAGTTGGTCTTACAAGAGTATAGAGGCATAGAGCCCATATGTTGGCATCTGGCGCTATCTCTGTGCTCCCCCTTCCCCTCTTTTGTCTGTGCTCCAATTCAGTGTGATACCCTATCACCATTGACTCTTCTTCATCTTCCATCTTGAACCTAGGCCATGATGTCCTTAGTATAGATATAGACTATACATGCAACGGCTGGCGAGCGAACGGAGGATTTGGAAGTGGGACTCACCGAGCTAATACTTACTGGGGGATGCTATATCTGGTAGGAACGGCGACAACACGTTCATGGTGAGTCTGTTCAGAGGCCGTTGAGGTCTGCCATGTCCATAGCTGCTCTGACGAAGAACTACAAATTAGCAACAAAGAAAGGAGCAAAAATCCGGCAAGGATGGCAGAAACCCCAAAAGGAAAGGTTAATGTGAATGTTGATGCATCCTTTGATGAGAGTGTTGGGTGCGGGAGTGCTGGGACAATCATAAGAAATAGTGTGAAGGCTACTATAGTGGCTTCTCACAGCTATGTTCCTCATTTGGTAGATGCGCCGATGGCGGAGGCGTATGCCTTGAAAGAAGGCCTGATGCTAGCGCAATTTATTGGATGCAATCGGCTTATCGTCCAATCGGATTGCATGGAGGTTGTCAAAACGATGAAGGGTGGAGGTTTCTTGGCAACATCAGCTGCGTCTTTATACGATGAATGTTTCAGGAAATATCTATTGAGCATTGTAATAGGGATGCAAATCAGGTGGCACATGAACTAGCAAGAAGAGCTATGCAATATAAGCAAAATTGTACTTGGGATGATGAGCCCTCTAGCTTTATTCTGAACTTTCTGATTAATGATTGTCGGTGTTTTGTAAACTGGACTAGTAAATTTATACGATTGCCGCGCTGCTCTAGAAAGACGATGGTAGCATCCAATAGACACGAGGATTTATACTGGTTCAGACCGAAGCCCTATGTCCAATCTCAGAGATGATCGAGTGTGTGTTCCTCGCTTGATTGCTCTGAAGTTCTTACAATGGGGGATGCAATAAAGGTGGAAGAGGTGGAAGGACCTATGCTAGGCGAAGAGCTACCTGAAGAGAAGCTCTAGGAGCCCTACTACAATGGTGAATGAATGGAATGGTAGAGGATGTGAACCGTGTTGCCCTGGTAGTCCTTATATAGAGTTCGGGGCCAGGGCTCATACAAAGAGGAGGTTCTCCAACCGAAGGGTCGTGAGCCTGAGGGTGGTCCTAGCTAACTTGGCTTGCAAGCTACGGCGTCTTCTGGTGCTCGTCCGGTCATGGCTATCGTCATGGTTTTGTGGCCATGCTATGACAAGGTGTGACATAGTGTTACTGTGCCGGTCGTGGTGGCACTGTGGGCATGACGATGGTTCGCCAGCTGTCCTATGCGGCATGGTCTCCGTTGTGGTCTTCGTCATCATCGTCTTGCCTCCTGGGGCGTCGTATGGGAGTTGGTGGCCGCCCGGGTCGCCGATGACCGTCTTGTCTTGAGGAGCTGAGGACATGACCCAGTTGTCGAGGTCTTGGCTCGCTGCTAGTCTAGATGACTTCTATGTCATGGCCTTCGTCGTAGATCCCATCCCGTAGTGGGTGAGACTGTATATCCGTATCACCAGGCCGTGTCTGGTCGGTGGTCTTCATACCTATTATCACCGCTTTGAGGCGGTGTTGTCTTGTCCGTGCGGCGTGGCATAGGGTTGGTGTCTGACCGGACTGAGGTGACTGTTGTCCCCTCATTTCTTGTAGGGTCAATGCGGCGCGCTTGCTTTTGTCAGAGCTGGAGCGCTTGGTCGGACATGACCTCTCCCTATCTCTTTCGATGGTCGTGATGGGGAGAGGTCAGGTGCTTTGCGAACGCCGCGCGGCTGGGGCCAGAGGAAGAGATCATGGCTGACCCTGGCCCTTGCGTTCGGCCTGGCTTGCTCGGCTTGACTGGACCTCGGTTGTTCGGGCCTTCGTCAGCTAGCGCATTGCAGGCCTCGTGGCCTGCTATCTAATCGGTGCCTTGAGATACCCCGGGGTTATAACTCCGACAGTAGCCCTCGAGCATTTTTGTGATCGCAAAGTGAACATGAAAGCGTTGAGAGGTGTGTGCATCGAGCGTGGGTTCGTAGTCGTGGCTTCGTCGAGCTTCATCGCCAGACCCTTGCGGGCTTGGTGTATTCAGGACGGTAGCTGGATGTTGCGCCCCGTCCCATCCTATTGAAATGGTATGTGATTACTGAGCCTTGCCGTGTTAGCATGCCACTCATCAGGTTCCGTGACCCAGGCATGGCCGTGTGGTCTTGTCGACGTTGCACCGGCCCTTCCTTCAGGGACGTCTAGACTTTCTCGATTTTACGCGGGCATGTAACGTTGGCCGTGACCTCTCATGGTTTTGCCACGCGGCGTGGGAGTTTCAGGCTGTTCGGTCTACCCTTGGGTCTACCTCTCGTGGTTTCACTCGAACCAACTATGGCTGCATCTACAAACCTCTCTTGTCCTTCCTGCTGAGAGGGCGAAGGAATGGGAGAGGAAAGTTTGAGAAGAACCGCGTGGTTCCCATCCTGTGCCCCTACCGGTAGTGCCCAGAAGCTGGTGGTGCCCCTTTGACAACTAGTGCTAGAAGGGATCTTGCAAGCGGGGGAGGATTGAGGCGGTGTTCAGGCCAACCGCAAGCCCTCATGGTTTTAGTGCTTCCCCGAACCCATAGGTTTCGGGTCACTAAAGCAAGAGCGCCATGGCCAACAATCAACTGCCCACGGCGCCCGTGCCATGACCCCACCCACAAGGGGTCGAGCTCATCGTCGTCCTCTTCGGATGATCTGCGTGAGTTCCATGAGCTCATCCACGGTGCAAACGAGGCCTACCAGCACTACTCCGACGTCACCCATGAAGTGAGCCGGCTGGAACGCTGCCTTGATGCCGTTAGGGTGGCCCTTGAGGCCTCTGTAGGTTCGAGATGACGGACTAGAGGGGTGATGAATAGTCCTTTCTAAAACTTAATCGCGCCGGCTAATCGAAACAAATGCGGAATTAAAACTATCGGTCTAGCCAAGACTACACCCCTCTATCTAAGTTCACAAGCACCTTATAAAGACTCTAAAGAGGCAACAAAGGTGCCAGAGCTAGCTAGTGCTCACCTATCCAATTCTAGCTTGCAAGGTCACACAAACCTATGCAACTAATACTTCAAGCAAACTGGGGAGCACCTACACAATCTAGTAAGCAAAAGCACAAAGCCACCTAAGCTCACTAGTAATGCTCAATAACAAGGCAACTAATACCAAATTAGAGAGCACAAATTACTTAGCTACATAAACTAAGCAATGTGACTAACAAGGTTACTAAAACCAAATTAGACACGCAAAGGAGCTACTTCTATGCTACACAAACAAGAAGGCAACTAGTAAGCTACTAAAGCTAAAGTAGTCACAAGAGCAACTACACAAGCATAATGTGTAAATACAAGCTAGTGTTGCACAGAATGTAAACCACCGAGAAGATGATGAAGACAATGTTGACACGGTGATTTTCTCCCGAGGTTCACTTGGTTGCCACCAAGCTACGTCCCCATTGTGTCGACCGTTCACTTGGTGGTTCGGCGGCTAATTGGCATCACCCGCCAAGCCCGCATGTCGGGCACCGCAAGAATCTACCCCGAAAATAAGGGTAGCCCAATGACATGCTCAACTAGAGTTGCTCTTCGCTATCCCCATGGGGTGAGCACAATCCCCCTCACAAATCCTCCTCCAGAGCATCACACAATCTTCTTGCATGCTTCAACGGAGTCACAAGCCACCAAGCCCCAAGAGTAACAAGCACCACCGGCTTGCAACTCGATCACCTAGTGCCACTCGATGCAATCTCACAATGCAATCGCACTAGAATCACACTCACTCGCAATCGATTTGCACTCTTGCAAGCACAAGTGAGTTAGAGGGCATCCAAGCACTCCTACACAAGCCACATAGGCGTGAGGGTGCTCAGTAACTGGCCAAAGGCTGGCCAACACTTCTATTTATAGCCCCAAGGGCTAAACTAGCCGTTACCCCTTCACTGAGCGTTTTTTGGGCTGACCGACGCGCTGGTCGCAATTACCGGACGTGCTGGCCTAGCATCCGGTCGCGCTATGCCGTCCACGTGTCACTCTATGTTCAACCAGAGCCACCTGATCTCAACGGTAAATTCACGCGTCAACAGTCAAGATGACCGGACGCGCCAAGCCCACGACCTGACACGCCCGAGCCACGTCAGATCGCCTAGCCAACACCTGACCGGACGCGC